TTTGTAAGTTGGAAAGGAAAATCTGTTGAAGGATCTAGAAAACGAAAACGGGAAACTGTAGGGGAACCTGGTTCTCTGAAGACCATACCTAGTGACAGTGGTCTTTGGCAGGAGAGATTGAGAACTCAGAAAGTCTTGTGGGGTCGTATGTTTGATCCGGCAATCTTAGAGATGGTAGGTATGAGGAAAATTCTGGAGATAGTGGAATTTTAGCAATGGGAGAACTTATTTCAGGAGAACATGCCTCTAGTGTACGAAGATGCGGTACAAAATTTCTACGCATCTCTCTTTACTGTTGAGGGGGATCACATATGTGTGCTAGTAAATGGAGTAGACATTGTACTTGATGCTTCGGCATTGGGGAAGGTTCTCCAAATTCCATGTGAAGGAATGTCCTCAGTCAAAGGTGTATGTGGTGCTAATTTTAGGAGAGCTATCATGAAAGAGCAAGCTATTCAGCAGGGGGAATAGGTACATAAGAAAGTGCTACTTCCTGAGTATCAGCTTCTCTTTGAGCTGGTTAATAAGGTGTTTTTACCTCGCTCTGAGAGGCGGTCTATTGCTACAAAGTCTGATCTGGTTCTAATGGAAGCTCTTGATGAGTTTTACCCGATCAATCTACCAGCAATCATGATAGATCATATGCAAAAGGTGGCAAACTTTAAAGGTAGGAATCATGGGCTTCCATATGGATTCCTCCTCACTCAAGTGTTTAAGTTTTACAAGGTTCCCTTGGGTAATCCCAGAGCGGGCACACGCAAGCAAACATTCTCTAAAACTACTCTGGAAGAATGTGAGTGCGTAGAAAAGGTTGGTGGAAACATTTCGACTATTTCTCAACTGATCAATGCTCAAAATGCTGCTTTTGAAGAGATTAGAAGATTGAGGGCTCAGAACGCCATACTAGAAACTCAGCTCAGTCAAGCTGTTAAAGGACCTGGTTTCATTAATTCCACAAATGAAGAAGTTGACCGCTTGACAAAGGAAAATGATAAGCTTCGCGCAAAACTGCTTGAAGAGCAACTATCTGCAAATGCCCGACTGGACCTGGTTCTCAAGACACTTGCCGCTTCCCTCTCCTAGTTTTCCTCTTCTAGTGCCCCTTAGATACCTCCTAGTGACCAGTTATCTTCTGTTATGATGTTTTGTGGCTGCTGTTTCTATTTTTGTTTATCCTTTTGCTGATGGCATGCTGGATTTCACCATTACTGCTCATGTTTTGCTCACTCCATTGTTCATATCAAAGAAACAGCTTCTCTTTCTGCTTGTACAATGTCGTTTTCCTTTGGCTTCTCTTTTCTGTCATATTGTGTGCACATATGTGGCATGAGTTGGTTGTGTTGGACTTCTTTATGCTGTTTGCTTGCTTGTGTATTTTTAATGATGCCAAAAGGGGGAAGAATAAGTATGTACCAGATGATTGAAACGGGGGATCTATTTAAGGGGGAATCAAAAGTGTACTAAATGATTGAAACGTGGGATCTAATTAAGGGGGAATCAAAAGCAAAAGATCAGGGGCAACTTGGTGAACAATTGATTGAAACGGGGGATCTGATTAAGGAGGAACCTTGGGTAGTTCCTGGTGCCTCATCTGGTTATTTCTGCTCTAAATAGATACTATCAATGCCTAAGTTTGTCATCATCAAAAAGGGGAAAATTGATGGGTTTTCAATGTCTTTGCATTATGTTTCTTGTGTTTTGATGATCTAACAATCTTACTGTTAAGAACCAGATAGGGAAACTGACTCACTTGGTACACATTGCGAAGTTCAGCCTGAACTCCAGCTAATGAACTACTACAAAGAGGAACACGACAGGGACCTGATCCCTTGGTGTTCTCTGACAGAAGTACAAGTCAACTATACAACTGGAACGTAATTGCAGAAAGTGACTGTCTGCAACTGTTCACGCGACAGTGTAGCAGTCACTTCCCATTAAAGAGACGTGTACTAAGAATTGACATCATCCTTGTGATGTCTTTGGTAGTATAATAACATGGTGCAAGGCACAAGATATTCACTTGAGCATTTAGTGATATTCTCTCAAGCATTAAAGAGTCAATCCAACATTGAAGTCAAAAGTGTGTCAAGAACAAGAAGACAACTCCACTAAAGGATCAGTTTCACAATGAGTCTATGTGCATCCGTAGTTGAGTTGTAATCTTGTTATTTGCTCTTCATTGTAACTCCTATCTTGCTTTCTTAGAAGCTGTGTTTTAGGAAACCCAAAATCACAAACCTTCTAAGTTTGTGTTGTGACTAGAGTTAGTCATAAGTTAAAGTCTTTGTAACTAGTGAGTGACAAAGTGGCTTGTGGTAAGTATATTGCGAGTTAGTTGAGTTACAGTCTTTGTAATAGAGTCATTACAAAGTGGTTTGTAATAGTGTGATTATAAGTTAGTGAAGTTGAAAGCCTACAAGTGTAGGTCGTGATTTTTGTCCCCTTGAGTGGGATTTTTCCACGTAAAATCATGTGTCTCTTTTACTTACTGCTTCCTAGTATTCTTAGTGGAAAATCATAGAGGACCAGGTACTCTATAGTTTGGTGGACTCATATAAACTAACAGATGCGACGCATCCAACCCCTCCTCCTCTAGCTAGAGCATCTTTTCTTCATATTTTTGCACTCCAAACACCCTAAATCATCACACACAACTCCATTAGTCATAAAACCAATAATTAAACCATGTTGGGCATTTTAAAGATCAAATAGCATCAAAAAGCGGTTAAAATATGGGTAAAGTAACATCAAAACATATAGAAATATGCCCAACATCAGGTTTCTTTTAATAAAACCTTCGTTTTTATATAAATCTATAACCGTACCGATATTTAGGTTAGGTTTTTTATTTTATGAAAATAAACCGAAAAAATACCGGACCGCACCNACCGAACCGTACCGAATAAATATATATATATATATATATATATATATATATTAAGTTTAAAAATAATAAAACATTAAAAAAAAAATTGGGCCTTGAAATTATGAAAACGGTTACAAGTCAACAAGTAATTAAACTCAAAATCCTAATTCTCAAACATATTATACTACTATTGAAACTAAATTATTTTCAGCATATTCACTAGCAAGACACAAGGTATTCTAGCGATTATGAGTAGTAAACTACAATGTATTGAATATTTTTTCTTTCGTATGATTTAAATTTATATTTTCGAATATTTAATCTTCTATAGACTTTATTCTTGAGTCTCAACTTACTTAAAATCATTCCACTAGTGTGATTTATATTTTTTTGTATTTGCTTCGTTTCTTTTACATTATTGTAGAATAGTTGATGGATCTATACTCTGGTCATCTTTTATGCTTTCTTAATTCATCACCCTTTAATCAGTAAAAATCTAGAGAGTTTTGCTAAGTTTTATAAAAGTGCGTATGTTGTTGCATTCTGCTTCTACTAGTTACTTTTACGTGACATTTAAAAAAACACCGAAATTTAATTGAACCGTGCCGATACCGAAGAAAAACCGACATGATTGGTACGGTTTTTAAAAGTCTAATTTTTGTTATACATAAAAGAATAACCGAAAAATTGGTATGGTACAAATTTTATAAAATAACCGGCCGAACCGAACCATTGACACCCCTGCCTAATACTAGTGGGTTTAGAGCTTAAAGCAAAAATATGTATCCCATTATTCATTTAAGAAAATAGCTTTTTAATATGCACAATATAAAATTAATTCTCATAGTTGCAACAAATCAATGAATATAAGATACATATTTTTCATACACACATTTGTAATCATTAAATATTTGACATTTTCGAACTATGTCTATAACTTTTTAAAGGCCCGAAAAACAAAAAGGAGCTATGTACGAATAAGATATCCAGCAAATAGGGGTGTTCATGGTTCGGTTTGGATCGGTTTTTCCCTAAAAAGAAACCAAATCAAGTAAGTAGGTTTTTCCAATATTAAAACCATACCAAACCAATTAAGTCGGTTTTTTCTCGATTCGGTTTATGTCCGGTTTTGTCGATTTTTCGGTTATTTGTCGGTTTTTTCTTAAATATACGACATACATTACCAAACACATATTCCAGAGATCACATTTTCAACGTAACACTATCAAATCAATTGGCCTTTGAGAAATCTATTATTTACCAAGATATATTGATGATAATTAAATCAAATAGTGATGAATAATTTAAGGACTCAATTAAAAATATATTATTTTTAACACGAAATCGATTCTTACACTTAACAAAAGAAAACTACCAGTCAAACTAGAATGTAAAGGTAAAGAACTTTACTAAAAGTGCAAACTATTAACATTTACCATTAAATTTTTTAAACTTTATATATATATATATATATATATATATATATATATATATATATATATAATAATAAATTTTAAATAGCTACTCATATAGTCGGTTTGGTTCGGTTTTGTTTCGATTTTTTTCTGACTAAAACCAAAACCAAACCAAATTTGATCGGTTTTTAAAATTCAAAACCAAAACCAAAACCAAATCAAAAAGTATTGGTTTTTTTGGTCGGTTTGGTTTGGTTTTCGGTTTGATTCGATTTTTCGGATTTTTATGAACACCCCTACCAGCAAACAAAAAAGGTTCTTTTCGTAAGTCATAACCCCAACATATTTTATATGCATATACTAGTATAGTACGATAAAAATTAAAGATTATGTCCAATTTGACGATGTGGTAACAAGCAATGTGCGAGTTGAAGGGCATTGAGAATATTGATTATGTTATCAAATAAACATGATTTAATGATTTATATTTTCACTTTAATTGTAATTATTAAAATAAAATTATTTAATTTATAAGTAGTTACCCAAAATTTGCAAATCTCCCGATACAACAACTCAGCATGAAGTTGACGTAATCCACAGTGCCGTGCCGCCGTCACTACCAGTCCTGGGAATGCAATAGTGCTCTCCATTTTGTTTCTTCTCTAACAAATACTATTATACTGAAAATGAAACATTTTACTGTTATCTTTGAAAGGTCATGGATCATCACAAGAAATGAGTGACGTTTCGATGTTATCTTCCGTGAATCCATGCCATGTTTTTTTAGCTTATTTATTTTAATGGGCGACAATTTTTCTTTGCTCAAGTTGGCCTTTTATTTTTTATTGGTTTATTTATATCACCGAAATGCATTATGCATCCAATACAAAAACATCATTGGACCCAAAATATAAATCTTATTTTATACTCCGACCTTCGTGCTTGTTCTTCATTATTACAGAAAAAAAAGGTGAAACAAACATAGCCAGGTCCTTTGACTTTCCCCAAGAGAGATTCTAGAGATAATCTGAAAGACTCTTAATTGTTTCAAATGATTCGTTTGAAAGAGAAACTCTGTTTATTCTTCAACAATAGATGGCTCGTATTCGTTGCAGCAATGTGGATTCAGAGTTTTGCTGGTATTGGATATTTATTCGGCAGCATTTCTCCGATCATTAAAAGCTCTCTTAATTATAATCAGAGGCAACTTTCACGTCTGGGTGTGGCTAAGGATTTGGGAGATAGTGTTGGATTTTTGGCTGGAACTTTATCTGAAATCTTGCCGTTATGGGCAGCTCTTCTTGTGGGTGCTATTCAGAATTTTATTGGGTATGGCTGGGTTTGGCTCATCGTCACCGGCCGATCTCCAACTCTTCCTTTATGGGTTGTGAGTACCTATCTCTTTTCATCATCTCTTAAACCTATTTGTTTATAGCTGAATTTTAAGAACTTTCAAAAATTACTTTTAATTTATAGTACTTGTGTTCATTGAAAAGGGTCTTTCACTGTCCCTTTAGTATATCCCTTTGATATTGTAAAACCCTTTGATTTGATATTGGATCACCTTGTATTAGTCAATTCTCACCTAATTAGCAGGGGCAGAGCTAGTAAGGGAGAACAGGGTTTAATCGAATCTCCTTCATCAAAAGGTTATAGTGTTTGGTTATATATAAACCCTTGAATCCCCTTTAACATAGGAGAAAATTCTAGTGTAGTGGTAAAGGGGGTCCAAAAGTTGCTTTGAGTCATAAGTTCAAGTCTCAACTATGACATTCTAATATCTTTGGAATCTCCTTATATAAATTCCTGGCTCTACCACTGCTATTTAGGATGCGATGCTCAAATTGAGTTATGAGGTTACTGTTGCTAATATCTGGCGTTTATAAGTCTATTGATGTCTCATTTCTGTCTTCTGAATTGCAATTTTGCTTCTTGAGTATCAAACTTTCAGTTCAAATTTGGTCTCGGTGCTCCTGAGTTATGCAATTTGATCTATGCACTAGTTACAGTCATCAACTTACTATTAGGGTATTTGATTTGCTTTTTCTGAAATTTAAGGCCTTGAACTCAGGTAGGCAAGAAGAACCTGCTGCTCTATCTACATGAGTTTCATCAATCTGATATTGTTCTTGTCTGGCATTTCTATTTCTGAAGAATTTTAAATATAATTAAAGTTACAAGTCTGGATTAAGGCTGAAGAGCAATGGGTTTTACTTGTGAACCAAATAATTATCAGCTCTTGCCTTCTCTTCACCATTTTGTCAGCATGAAACTCCATCATCTATCATTTCCTCTCGGAGTGTAATTAGTGAAGACGAAGATTGCATGTCTTTGAATGAATGAAGGAGAACAAAACTGAACGATGTCTACCATTTTCCTAGTATGCATGGGCAAGAACTGCTTGTTTTCTCCTTATCCAAAAAAAAAAAAAAAAAAAAAAAAAAAAAGTGCTTGTTTTCTATTGTGTAGCTGAATGCCTTTCTCGAAATATGTCTGGTCACTCACCCGAAGATGCTATTCACTACTATTTTGTTTGATGGATCAAATCGTTTATTTACTGACTGCTATAAACAATTTGGGCCAAATCCATGGCATATTTGCATAACTTCTATGTGTTTCTTTTAGATCACTACCTTGGCATGTACTTCTAGTTTTGTCTGATAATTGACTTATTTCAGCTATTTCTCTGCAGATGTGCATTCTTATATTTATAGGTACAAATGGCGAAACCTACTTTAATACAGCCGCACTTGTCTCATGTGTGCAAAATTTCCCTAAAAATCGCGGTCCTGTTGTGGGAATACTTAAGGGGTTCGCTGGCTTGGGTGGTGCAATTATGACCCAGATATATGCGCTGATCCATTCCCCAGATCATGCTTCACTTATATTTATGGTTGCCGTTGGACCTTCAATGGTGGTTATTGCTCTCATGTTTTTAATCAGGCCTGTTGGTGGCCACAGACAAGTCAGACCTTCTGATGGATTCAGCTTTTCATTAATTTACAGCATTTGCATTATTTTGGCTTCTTACCTGATGGGTGTCATGCTTGTTCAAGACCTTGTTGACGTGAGTCACACCGTCACTACAATCTTCACAGCTATTTTATTCGTTCTATTGGTAATCCCGGTGGTGATTCCCATCTCCTTGAGCTTCTCTCAAGCGACAAGAGGACCATCAGAAGAGGCTCTTCTATCTGAGTCACAAAAACAAGATCCTGGTGTATCTAAACATAATGATGATCAGGAAATTATATTTAGTGAGGTTGAAGATGAGAAGCCTAAGGACGTAGACTTGCTTCCAGCATTAGAAAGGCAAAAAAGAATTGCCCAACTGCAAACAAAACTAGCTCAAGCAGCCGCAGAAGGAGCAGTGAGGATCAAAAGAAGGCGGGGCCCCCATAGAGGGGAGGACTTTACCTTAATGCAGGCTTTGATAAAGGCAGACCTTTGGATTATATTTTTCTCACTACTTTTAGGATCTGGATCTGGTTTGACTGTGATTGATAACTTGGGTCAGATGAGCCAATCTTTAGGATATGATAACACACATGTATTTGTTTCCATGATCAGCATATGGAACTTCCTCGGTCGTATTGGGGGTGGATACTTTTCTGAAATAATTGTGAGGTACATGACATTTGCTTCTTACATATTGACGATATTGACTGAACTTTACAATGTTCTTCATTTCAATGAATATTTTTCTCATACAACCTTGTCCTATTAACAAAACAGGGATTACGCCTACCCAAGACATGCAGCCATGGCTGTTGCCCAAGTTATAATGGCATTTGGGCATTTCTTCTTTGCTATGGGTTGGCCAGGGGCTATGTACATTGGTACTCTTCTGGTCGGGCTCGGTTATGGGGCTCATTGGGCTATTGTGCCAGCTGCTGCTTCTGAATTGTTTGGCTTAAAGAACTTTGGAGCTTTGTACAACTTCCTCACTGTTGCGAACCCAGCTGGGTCATTAGTATTCTCAGGCATTATTGCTAGTAGCATATATGACAGTGAAGCTGCAAAGCAAGCTCAAGAGCGTCATCCCAGCCAATGGAATGGGGCATCTATTTTGTCAAGTTTTCTAGCTGTGGAGGAACCTCTAAAGTGTGAAGGTGCCATATGCTTCTTCTTGACTTCCTTAATACTATGTGGACTCTGCATTATTGCTGCTTGTCTAAGCATGATTCTAGTTTATCGAACAAAGGCTGTATACAATCAGCTTTATGGAAAATCTCGTACATAATCCATCACTCAAGTGAAGCTTGGATAGAAGTTTGAGTGGTTTGCACAGATACTCTCAACCAGCTTATGGATCCAAGCATTTCACTGAGGTGACGTTGTTAGCCATTACCAGAAAACATCCTCCTGGATGAGAGCAAGCAACAATGGAGATGGCTCAACTGATTTTTTTGGTGTTAGAAGCTGTTCCTCGTAATGTGATATAAATGTTTGATTGCAATTCTTGATTGGTGTATATTTTGCTTTGTCTTTGAAACTTGAAATTGTTATATTCTGGTTGTCAACCATCATTTATTGAATGAGATCTTCCATTTTTTAAACTTTATTTCTTTAAATTATCCTTGCACCAAGTTCTTTTACTGTGAAAAGCCTTACACTGCACAACGCACTGGTTGTAGTCCATTGACATTGATCGCTTGCTATGTTCTGAAGAAAGTTGTGAATCGTGATAGCTGATGGTATAAGGTGTTTAGCTAACTACCAGTACCATGAGATACAAGCAGATTAATCTGCATAGAATTGATTGTGTTCATGCTTGTGGATGATGCAAATTACTGCACCAGGTGCAAGTCAAGATTAAACTCAGTAACACAGATTGGATTAGGGTATCTTTATGTTAAAACTTGTTGCTCGTCTCAAGTCTCAACTCACTAATTATACTGTTCATATGGTTCCACTCAGCTCATATGTCTAGTATAAGAATTATTGCAGAACTCAAAACACGTGATTTATTTAGCCGGTTACATAAAAAATATAGCCAAAAACAAATTATTTAACTTTTCGGACTTCTAACATGGATTTACAAAGTAGCAGTTTTCCTTTCGTTGAAGGCAGAACTTGGGCCTCATGAGTTGAACCTGGTGCAGTCCAGTCTTATTTCACCTTGATTACCGGTTTTGACACCAACTCTTCCTAGTTTTCTCATTGCAGAGACAAAAGCTCCATTAAATTCGAAAGCACTATTGGCAAAATCATTAACAGTGCGTTGAGACGCTTCATCAGTGAAGAGCACCTGATCTGAGGTGAACAAACCCTTTCCTCCAACCAGATTCTTGTAATACTCATTGTCAAATGTTCGCGGAGTCACAGGATCCATGTTTATAGCAATGGAAGGATCTACTTTTTGAGGGCACATTTGCATCAGTTGTTTAGCATATTCGGGATCCAAAGAAGGGTCAACGGTGTTGGATGAGGTAAATGAGTAGAGACGGTTTGCAAAACGGTCACAGTGAGAGAAGCCAAGTGTATGAGCACCAGAAAGAGCTATCATGTCAAACTGGCTGAGATTGTGGTTGGCAAACATAGTTGTAAGTTGATTGAGATTGAAGTGAGGTTCTGGCAATTTTCCAGCAACCCGAGAAGCCTTGGAGATGAGCCCATCGCGACGTCCCAATTCTACATTGTATGCAGGGCCTCCTGCCTGAATGTTTTCACCAGAGGAAATCAACAAGTCAAGTGACAGTTTAAATTTTAAGGTAAATGAAAAGAGAATGGTTTCTGTGTCTTCTATTACCAGCATTACAACATCTCTGGTGGCGATGGCTAAAATATCTGCACATGATACTACTCCAGGGCACTGAGCCTCTACTGCTTCTTTTGCCTTTATTACAGTGTCAAAGCCATCTCCTGCAAGGGAAATATTATCTGAAGAATCTTTTTCCGCGTCTCCATTTGGTGAAGCTATGAGAACAGAGGCATCACATCCCTGAGCAAATATGCAAAGAATATAAATCTTGGAAATATTGATCACTTGAAACTCTAGTACTGGACATCCCAAATCTGTTAACATACTGAGATAGTTTTCTCATCATCATATCCTATTACAGAGAATCAAATTGTAGAAGAAGATTAGGCTGTTACCTCAACAAAACAATCATGGAAAAAGAGACGCAGAGTTGCTGGAATAGTGACAAAAGTCTGGCTGAACTTTGTAGACACAGCCTGCTGAACTATGAATTCCACATTTGGACAAGTAAAACCATAGAAGTTCTCTACTAGTTGCCCTTCAGCTCCACTCACAATAATTATGATTGCCACAATCAAGACATACAAGCCCCTCCTCTCCATTTTTCACTTTCTTGATGAAAATTTGACCCTTTCTTTCTCTTTACTTTTCCCTCTCTACCATCCAATGGCTGGTAGAAGCAGAACAAACTTGTGCATGTATACTAAAAGAAAAGTAATGAGGAAGGTAGATGAAGGCTTTTTCTTGTACCACTATTTGTTATAGGCCGTTATACTTTTTCCAAGTCCAAAAGGTTTAACATTTATAGTCGTCCTAGTTTCTATTCACTTATACTCAGTGTTTACACCGAACCGATTAACACATTGAAACTTGTCCTTTTTATGCATTTTAGTCACTCACCATGGTCATTTAATACTCCCTCCATCTCATATTAACAGTCGTGGTTACTAAAAATAGTTATCTCAAATTATTTGTCAGTTTAGAAGTTCAAGACAAAATTGATTGTTGTTTTTTCTTTTTTACCTTAGTAATAATTATTCTTGAAGATAGAGATAACACATAAATAGAATAAATACTCGATGAAGAGAGATTATATCTTAAGTCATAAATAAGGTTAGAGTAGTCCAATACCTTTCCTAATTAATATTTCTTAAGGAGCGTGTAAAAGAAAAACACGACACATAATATGAGACAGAGGAAGTATATATTGTATTGCCTCAATCTTTCTCTTAATCGTAGTAAGCTAATGTGGTTTGGTATAAACACGAGTAAAAATTTTATGAGTGTGAGGGTAGAGCTCCGTTTAAAAAAAGCAGCTCACCCTATTAAGTAGCTCCACGTGACTATTTCCGTCTTCATACTTCATATGTATTTTCTTAATTAGCCTCTTTAAGTATAAGAGGCTAATTCTAGTTCTTTTCACTACACTACATTTGTGTTATGAAAAATGTAAATAATTTGCGGATGATCAAACCAGTCAGATCTGACGGCTGAGGGAAAAGGAAATTTCAACTATCAAAACAAATTCTAGTTCTTACTGGAATTTGAGGATTTGATAATTTGTAGTTGAATATTCCTGCTAATGATCTACGTGTTTGCGCGTGAAGATTGAGTGTTTAAATATGTTTCTTATTGGTAAATTAAAATTCAACCCTGTTGTTTGGTGACATCGAACATGGAGAGTAGTTTCTTTTTTGTTGCTCAATTTGATCTACTCCCACCTATCAAGTTATTGTGACTTTAAGAAAATGACATTTTAACTAATCAGATTACAATAATCTAAACGATCCTTATTTGGGAAAAGGATATAATCTGATATAAACTAATAGCTTGTTTGAATGACTGTTACATGACGTTTCATAATATAACATATTATATTGTATTATTTAGTAAATACAACGTTTGGATAGAATTATATCATTTGTTGTTGTTTTATGATGTCATGCACCAACAATATGAATAATAGACTTGCAATATTATTAAGAAAAAATAGAATACGAGGTTGAAATATAATATAAAAAGTAAAATAAATGATAAAATATGATTATTTGATAATAAGGAAGGGCAAGATGAGAGAAAAAGCAAGGTAACGATGCCACCACACCAAATCCGTCATTTCATAAAGGCAGTTGGGTTCAAAAAAGGAATAAGTTAAAAAATTTAAAGAGAATGTAGGTAGTGAAAATTGAGCCAATGACCTCACAATAGTTTTGAACCCCCTTGACCACTAAGCCATGCTTTTGGGCTGTGTAAAGGGGATTCAAAACATAATATATAGAGGTAAAAATTAGATTTTGCCTATATGAACAATGTAATTTTCGGCGAAGAGGGTTCGGCTGAACACCCTTGCGCCCCCTAAATCCGCCCCTGGTTGTAATACGGAAGTTGTATCCAGATCTCAGTCCTTTCTTCTGTAAGTTAGTTTGTTATTCACAAGTTGGGAAGTGGGATTGTTCCCACATCGGAAGAGAGAAGGTCTCTTTGGAGCCTTTTAAGTACTTGTCCCATTTATGTCTTTGTTAGGACACATATTTTTAAGTGCGTGCAATTAAGTACACTATATATTTATATATTATTATATTATATAATTAAAGACTTGGACTTGGAACTGGGGCGCGGGCCGGGTCGGATCCTAAAGTTAAATTATTTTATTTTTTGACAGAAAAATCAAATTTATTTGAATTTTAAATTCAAAATTCGAATAAACAGTTATGTCTGTTACGAAAGGGTCCAACTAAATATGTCTATTTGTGAAACAAAACATCTTTTCTGAAAGGGTCTGTTGGTTGCCTATAAATACACAAGAATTTTCAACGAAGTGGCATAGAAAAATCACATGTATTATTGCACGCTTTGTTGTATCCCAAAGAGAATCGTTTTGTATTTTCCTAAATTAGTATACAGGCGATAACTCTTTAAGGACAGTCGATTTTCACGCCTCAAAACCATTATTTATTTATTATTTTCTAACATCAATCTAAAGCATATGCAATTCAAGATTGGCATCTTCAACAAAAGATCATACACGATGGTGCAGAGCTAGAGTTTTAGTTATGCGTTCGGCAGAATTAAGTAACTTTGACCAAAATCTTGTATATATATAAATAATTTATCCAGAATCAAGTAAGCTATACTTTTTAGAACTAAAACCCGTAAACTCAAAATTCTGAATCTGTCTCTTGTGCAGAGTCATACAATTTCTCGAACCTCAAGCTATTAATGGTATAAGTTAATTAAACTCTAGGTAAAAAAAACTTGGATAATGATAATTGCACGAGCCAAAATGTGACGTGCATCTGCAGCTGGTAAGTTACTTTCTTCAGGTCAAAACTTTGGACACTGTTTAAAAGCAAGGTTTTTCTAAATAAGAATTTGTTTTACGCCTTATGAAGTGTAGCGGGGGCCTGGAAGAGAAATATGGGAGCTATTAATTTATCGTCCCTTGCAATAGCGGCTACAATAATATTAAATTAAAAGATAGGGAAACAGGGGAAGTTTGTATTTAGGGTGTTTAAAATCGAACCGAAATCGAAAATCGAACCGAAATCGAAACCGGAGCTTAATGGCTTATTGGTATCGGGTTAACGGTTTAACGGACGGGGAACGGATTGAAATTTTTTTATTAATGGCTTATCGGTTTGGGGGCGAATTATTCAATTTTCTTAATGGATAATCCGTTAATCCGNCAAATCAATTACATAACGTAAATATAGCTACAAGCATGTAATTTAGCTAATGAAATCAAAGCTAAGGCAAGAAAATAGAAAAACGACCAAAAATCCTCCCCGGGCCCACGTCTCGGAGTCGGGTAAAAGCCACAAATTATGAACACCCATTCACTCACGAGTTCACTCG